TGTGTGTGGGGGGGGGGTTATTGTTGATTGTATTCTGTACAGTGACCTGTGCATCTATACTGTACATTCCTGACCCCTGCACTCTGTTGTGCTTCTCCGAGCCCTGCATTCTGTATGATGCATACCCCTGCATTGTGTGCATTACAAACTCCTGACCCCTCTGTGTGTTATGCACTCCTGACCCCTGCATACTGTGTTATACACACTTCTGACCACTGCACTGTGCAATACACATTCCTGGCTCCTGCTCTCTCTGCATTACATACACTTTACCCCTGCACGCTGTACAATTTGCACTCTTGACCCCTGTTCTCGATTCATTACCTACTTCTTACCCCATCATGCTGTGCATTACATACTCTTGACCCAAATTATGAACTTCTGTTGGGCAGAGATGGCCACACACAGATCAAAATTTGCTTGGTCTCTACTGAAACATACACATTTCGATCAGTGCATAGCCAGCATTGCCTCTTTGAGTAATCTATAGCAGATCTTGACAGATATAGTAATTTATTCAACAATATTCAGCTTCTGAAATGGTTCCAAATTTTAAATGAACATTTTAAAGATTTTTGCATTACTAGATGATCTGTGTCAGATAATCTCTATTATTGTAGATCTAAACCCAATCACTAAAATCTATAAGCTTTATGGAATTTCAAAAGATTTTTCAATTTGCTACATAAATAAATACCTTGTAAATCTACCATAAAATAAAGGCCATTGTTTAGGAACTTCTTGTTATGAGCTCCAATGTTGTTCACCTATTACAAGTTGTGACAATTTAATTCCTAGAATTACCCACTTGGTAACCGCGCTATAGCCGAATGATGGCTACAGCGCGGTTACCCAGTTCTGGGAGGGTGTCATATGAAGTCCTCCCATAACGCACCCCCAGGGGAGTGCACCCGCAATCTTCGTGATCACTGTGTCCTATGGACACAGTTGATCAAGTGATGAGGTAAAAGGCCAATCACAGTGGTCTTTTACCACATGATCAGCTGTGTCCAATGACACAGCAGATCACAAAGTAAATACGGTTGCTGGCTAACGCCAGAGGTTTCCTCACGCTGTCACAGAGTGAGGAAAGTACTGCCGATAATAGGCAGCTGTCACAATGGAGATGGCACTGATCATCAGGGCACTGTGCATCATGATCAGTGCCCTGCAGTGCCGCCCACCAGTGCCACCCACCAGTGTCGAGCAGTGCCTCCTATCAGTGCCCACCTGTGCCACCCACCAGTGCCCAGCAGTGCCTCCCACCAGTGCCTCCCATCAGTGCCTAACAGTGCCACCCAGCAGTGCCACCCATCTGTGCAGCCTATGAGTGCCCAGCAGTGCCTCCAGTCAGTGCCATCCGTCAGTGCTGCCAGTCAGGGCTGTCAGTCAGTGCCGTCAGTCAGCGCTGCTCATCAGTGTTGGTGTTGCCCATCAGTGCTACCTATCAGTGCCGCCTATTAGTGCCCATCAGTGCCACCTATCAGTGCCCATCAGTATCACCCAGAGCCCATCAGTGTCACCCAGTGCAGCATCATCAGTGCCTCCTTATCAATACCCACCAGTGCCGCCTCATCAGTGCCACCTCATCAGTGCAGCCTATCAGTGCCCACCAGAGCTGTTTATCTGTGCCACCCCATCAGTGCTGCCCATCAGTGCTGCCTATCAGTGCAGCTTCATCGATGCACATCAGTGAAGGAGAAAAATTGTAGATTTGCAAAATATTTTTTCAAATTTTTTGCTATTTTTTTTTGTTTTATAGCGCAAAAAAATAAAACACCCAGAGGTGATTAAATACCACCAAAAGAAAGCTCTATTTGTGTGAAATTATACATTATAAAAATTGCATATGGGTACAATGTTGCATGACAGCGCAATTGTCATTCAAAGTGCAACAGCGATGAAGGCTGAAAATTGGCCTGGGCACGAAGGGAGTATAAGTGCCCAGTAGGCAAGTGGTTAGAATAATTTTAAAAATCTGCATTTTTCAATAGATAGAAATTTGAAGACAATGTTCTTTCTGGTTTTCTGTCAAGATTCGAGGCACCATCTTTGTTGGACTCTTTCTTATTGGAATCTTTGTTGGAATCTGCCACCCTGTTTACCTGTTTATGTTTAATTCTTATGCCATCATTCGCACACTCAATACGTGATCTGAATGTACAAAGATTTGCACTCTACATTTGCATCCATCCTTTGCATGTTTGGATGCCCACTTCTTGCATCATCATGGACATCTTCCCTCCCCTTTATAAACTGCCTTTGTCTGTCAAAAACACTTGATTTTTTTCATGGAATTGTTCACCATAAGGCTGATATAACAGGACTAAAGTTTCACACACACTTTTGCCAATTTTTACGCATAATTTGATGTTAATCCACTGCTCCAGATTCCTGTCACTCATTTTCCAACAACAGCCCAATGCACACGTGGGGTATTTCCTCTACTATAAATAACCACAAAACTCCATGCTATAGTGTCAAGTCCATGTGTAGCTGCCTTTGTAGTGCTAATGTCCTCAAAGTAGGATATACCTAAAGAATTAAAATAAAATTGGTGTGGTGCTCACTATATTACTCACTGTAAATAAATAATTAAGTGTTCTTGCATAGCAAGAGCACTTATTGTTATCTCACAAGTATATTCTTATTCTTATTATAGCCAAATTTGCCACGCTAACTGCTCCCACAGTTTTTACACTACAAAGACAAGTAATATATCAAAACGTGCGGATTGTTCCCGATCGGATTGCTATTACTTTGTGGAACATTTCGCCGAATCGTTCAAGAAATATCGTGGTTTTTGTGGCGAAATTTTCCCATAGGAATGAATGGTGCATGTAGAGTGGCAGCAGAGCACAGCTAGAGTGTGCAAAGGAAAAATCAGAACATGATTTGTAAACTGCCATCACTCTGTCATTTTCAAGCCCACCTACACATATCTTATATCAAAACGTTCAGCTAACCCTGCTGTCACTAAAAATGTTCATGGCTAGGACATACTCCTGATAGTTTTCACAATATGACCATTTGTTTGCACCTCACCCCTCCCATTGACTTTCATTGAAACTCCACTCTAGACACAAGAAATTTTAAGGGACGTTTTTAAACTGCGACTGTGCCTTCATTGTTTATCTTTCAGAGACATGTTTATCTTTCAGAGTCATACTATACAGCAAAATTTAGCTCCGTTTCTTGTGATTCTTGCAATACTAAGCTCTTTGCAGTAGCATTTATACTTTTAAAACTACAAGTGTTTGAAGATGGCAATCGCCAGTGAAGTTGGCAAGTTTAAACAGTGTGTTTAGAACAGACTTCCTGACATTCCTGACTGAGTGAGTTGCTATAGCAACCAAAGGTCACTCAAGAGGCAGCTGAGTCTCCAGGCTAACTGTGAGCTGCAAAATACAAGCTGAAATGCATTTCTCACTATCAGGCTTGCTATGTGCACTGCTTACATTTCATCATTACTTGGTAAAGGTTACTTGCAAGAACACTTTACACAATTTCCCCAGAAATTGTAGATTTTCTAGTTGAATAATGTAATAACTTGTGTGTGATGGGTTTTTGTTTTACATAAATCTATAGTGCCATGTATATGTGTGCCATCCATCCCATCATGATGTGTGCTGTGCATTAATACATATATAAAAGAGATATAAAGTCACTTCAAATATAGAACATCTCTGTATAAAGTGCAACTAAAGTCTAATTTTCATAAAGTGCTTTATAAAGTGACTGGTATTCAAAATTCTCAATCTTCAGTGCCTGCATATCACTCTGTGCTCCCCTTCTTGTCCACCTCACTCACCAGAGTTCTATGCAGCATATGTGGGTCTTAAGTGCTTTTAGGATGTGTACTGTCTCCTCCAGTAGACCAGTCATGGAACTCTAGTGACTGAGGTGGACAAGAAAGGGAGCACAGAGTGATTTCTATGCATTAACAATTGAGAATTGTGAGCACTGGCCACTTTATAAAGCACTTTATGAAAACTGGACTTTATTTGCACTTTATACAGAGACTTTCTATACTTTAAGAGACTTTATATTGCTTTCATATATTAATATCTCATTATTATTATTCATTATTAATTCATATATTAATGCACAGCACATATCATTATGGGATGGATGGTACATGTATGTATACATGGCACTATAGAATTATGTTTTAAAAACCCAACACACACAAGTTATTAACTTATTTATTTAAAGTCAGTAATACAATAAGCGCCACACCAACATGCTTGAGTGCCAATGGCTGTGGAACTCCCCACCATAGTGCTACACCAAGGGCTTTCTGGAAATTAAATTGTCACAAGTCGTATATACGCCCCTAGTGGACACTATAAGCTGCCATGTCAACACATTGTGCCTCAAACATATACCCTCGTTCTCCACTTACCCCTGTAATGCAGTTTAACCTCTGAAAAAAAATAGTATGTTTTTGTCTAATGACATTTAGGAAGACAACAGAGTGGTGAATTATATTATACAACAATGTATTGTCTGGGTGTATGAGTATGTTTACCTGCCTCCCATATAAGGAAATGAAGGGTCGCAAGGCGGTTTTCTCATTCTGGGAGGACATCATATGACATCCTCCCACTCTAACCGGGGACACAGCGAATCACCGATCAATGGAAAGAGCTGAAGACGTCAGCTCTGTCACGTGATCAGTTGTGTCCAATCACAGCTGATCGCATGTAAATAAGGAAATGCCGGTTATTGGCATTCCTCTCCTCATGAGCTCTCACACTGACAGCTCGGGAGGAGAGGAGATCCGGTAATCGGCATTCCTCAGAGGGGACATGTACACAGATCATCAGGGCACTGATGATCAGTGTAGCCCCATCAGTGCCACCTGTCAATGTCCATCAAAGCCACCTGTCAGTGCCACATCAATGCTACATATCAGTGCCTACCAGTGCACACACATATCAGTGCCTACCAGTGCACACCAATGCCACATATCAGTGCCCATCTGAGCTGCCTTTCAATGCCACTTATCAGTGCCAGTCAGTGCTGCCTATCAGTGCTGCCAATCAGTGCCACCTATCAGTGCCACCTATCAGTGTTAGTCAGTGCTGCCTATGAGTGCCAGTTAGTGCCGCCTATCAGTGCCACCTAACAGTGCCAGTCAGTGCTGCTTATCAGTGCCGCCTATCAGTGTCACCTATCAGTACTGCCTATCAGTGCCGTATATGAGTGCTGCCTTTCAGTGCCCTTCAGTGATGCCTGTCAATGCCCATCAGTGCCACCTACCAGTGCCTCCTCATCAGTGCCCATCAGTGCCACCTATCAGTGCAGCCTATCAGTGCCGATCACTGCTGCCTCATTAGCGCACATCAGTGAAGGAGAAAAACCACTTATTTGCAAAATTTTATAACAGAATGTAAGAAAAAACTTTTTTTTAAAAAAATTTTCAGTTGTTTTTGGTTTGTTTAGCAAAAAATAAAAAACCCAGAGGTGATGAAATACCACCACAAGAAAGCACTATCAGTCTCAAAAAAATTATAAAAATTTCATATGGGTACAGTGTTGCATGTTGCATGTTGCATTCAAAGTGTAACAGCACTAAAAGCTGAAAACTGGCCTGGGCAGGAAGGGGGTATAAGTGCCTGTAGGCAAGTGTTAATAGGAAAAACACAACAAAACATTTTTAACCTTGATCCTTAATGTACATTATGGTACTTTTTTTAACCTCCCTGGTGGTATTCCTGAGTGTAGCTCGGGGTAAAGTTTCAGTACCAAAAGCGGTAACCCCGAGCTACACTCTGGCTTACCATGCGGCGCTGCTCCGGGATCTGTTCTTCACTTACCTTGTCCTGCGCTCCCGTGATGTCCCTCCTGCAGTGTCCCCGGTAATGTCCACCAGCGAATGCCGGCATCTGTCTTCTAGGTTCCATCCCCTGCGAGCATCGGGACGTACGGGGGACGGAATGGCGGGAAATTTGAAAATGACAAAAAGTGACATTCACTAAATTTACTAAAATCGCATAGTAAAACATTACTGTATCAAACCATTTCACATACATTTTGTCCCTAGTGCTTTGTCCTGTCCCCTGCCTACATTTGTACTGTTCTTTCTGCCTGGAAACTGAGAAATGTCCATGGCGTCCAAAAAGCGCCCCTTTAGGTCAAAAGCGGTTTTAGACCAACTAGAGAACAGCGATAGTAAATTAGAACCACTTGCAGAATTGAGTGATAATGATTAGTGGGGAAATTCATCATATTCAATTCATATTATTGAATTAAATGTATTATTATTCTATTATTATTTTTTATGATTATTTATTAAATTATAATTTATGATTTCGTGTTTCAAATTGTAACATACCAGGGATGTTTACTAGGCGCTTGTTCGGACAGATTTCAGTGAGTTATTCCTAAAAATTACAGGCCTACAATAAAAAAAAATACATATTTCCATGCAAAAAAAATGTACGGGTTTGAGCACAGAAATATGGACATAATCAGACCGCTAGGGAGGTTAAATAAAGGACTTGTCAAAAAATTAGTTTACTGTTTCTTTTTTAGTAAATGCGTTTTTTTTATGTTAAGAATAAGCCTAATTGTCCGGTTTTTCTCACCTAAGCCAGAATGATGTAGCCTCAACTGCCTGAAGCCTCCTTGGATTTTCATATCATGCATTCCTGGGAGTTCCGGGGCAATCTACAGATACTGCGCATGCACCACGTGTCATCAGGGGGCTGGTTGCAAGAACCCAGAAGCAACGGCCGGCTCCATATGTTACATCACCTAAATGGTGATGTAACAAATGAAGATGGACATGGGGGACATAGTCTTCAACAGCAGAGCAGTAGATTACAGTAAATAACACTGGATTTGCTGGGCATGTGAGTATATTTAATAAGAATAACACAGCAAAAAAAGCATTAGGGGATAGAAAAATATTATGAAGACAGGGTGAAGTTTCTCTTTATGTTAGCCATCAGTATTAAATGAAGCTGAACTCCAGCCAAAAATAACACGATAAAAATAAATTGCCAGTTAAAAGATAAAATCACAAAAACTGCTTTTGTTTTATTGTTAAGCTTCAATTCAGGGATTTACCCTGCATTACGTTTTTCTACTGGTAGATGTCCTCAGTCTGATGTTCAACATCATTCAACCCATTTTCTCTAAGCCTAGGTCATCCTGGACCCACCCCATCCTTTTACTGATTGTGTAAGAAGAATCTGTCACTCTGTTTTCTTCCTATCAGCAGGGATGAGTTGAGTTCAGTTTGAACTTGGTGCAATCCCAGTTCTGCAGAACCTGTGGAAAGCTGTCACATGACATGATCACATTCTCACTCTCAATCAGCAATGGTTGCGACATTCTTCTCCCTGAAGGTACACATACTCATAGGGGCAGGGATACTTATGACATCCTTGACCCAATATGGCCACATGACCATATTTAGTCAATGTCATTTTCTTTTTTTGCATGGGGTTCATATCAGAACCTCACCAAGGATAGGGGTCTGGCATGTATTTTTAGGGTATGCCTGACACTTTTTCTTTTTTTTTTCTTTTGCCTGGGGTTTAATCCCCCATTAATACTCTAGGATAAGGGTCTGGTACAGATACATGAGTCCCCAGTTATTTGTTTATTAACAGAAGTAAGTGGACTGGACCTGTCACTCACCAACGATTTTAAACTGCATTTTTTTCTTTGTAAATGGTCAGGTGTTTGTAACATACAGAGTGCAGGGGTCAGGAGTTTGTAACATACAGAGTGCAAGGGTCAGGAATATGCAATGTACACGCAGGCATCAGGACAGACTGTCAGAAGCCAGGCAAGAACAAAATATCCCTCTCTCTGCCTTGAACCTTCCTGCTGAACTAATGGGATCCAGGTAGCTTTACTATAAATGCTGCGAGCGCCAGCCTACAGTAATACTCCACTTACACCCCATGGATAATAAAAAATCCCTTCTCTGCCCCCTATGCCCCTTGCCCTCAGCTGCAGCCCTGCTGTGATATCTAGTTGGAGGTTGCCCTGTTGATTCTGCCAACAGTCCTGTGCATGCCGCTCAGCATTCAGCCAGTCTGTTCATTTAAACTCTGTGGGGTTGATTTACTAAAACTGGAGGGTGCAAAATCTGGTGCAGCTGTGCATGGTAGCCAATCAGATTCTAAGGCTTGCCATACACTGTACAATTTTCTGTCCAATTTCTGCCCAATTTCCTTTAGATTTACCTTCAACTATGTAGTGCAAGGGCCTGCCTAATTGGATACAATTGAAAGTGTTTTTTAGGTTTGACCTGACATTATGTGGTTTTTGGTCAATCTAAAGCAAAAATCTCAAGAAAATGTATGGCCAGCCTAAGCTCAGCTTGTTCTATTAGGCTTTGACAATAAAACCTGGAAGCTGATTGGTTTCTGGGCAGAGCTTGTACTCTCCAGTTTTAGTAAATCATCCCCTGTGTTTCTGTGTTTCCATCTATTAGGGAATCCCTTTGCTTCACACTCATCCCCACCTTTTAGACAAACAGTATTAGTTTTTTTAAACAAGGACTCAATTCTCACATAAAGGAAAACAAATTGCTCTCAGATTTCTTACTATTTATTTCACTTTTTTACTTAATTTGAAAAGGTGCTAATTTCTAAATCATTGGTAAGTTGTCTATTAAAAATAAAAGAGATAAATGACACTAGTTGCAAAAGACTGTTGGCTGACAAAATAAATAATCACCTGTTTAGCAGTTTTCTAAAACACCAACATTGGAAAGCATGCTTTAAAATTTTTATCTTTTTTTAAAGAAATAAAAGCTGCATGTTACAACACCACATGGTACAAGTGTTCTGTTTCTAATGTCTCTTTAGGCATTGACATACCTACATAGATCTTGATCTATCCAGACAGTATGACCACCTCCTGCGTCATGTTTTTCTGCATTATGTGGGGGGGGGGGGGGACACTATTTACGTGAATGGGCTGCCTTCCACTCAAAAAACAAGTCCAAGTAGCTCCTGTACACTTTTATGAAGCTGATTTTGTCACATTTTGGACAGTACGATTTTTTTTTGGGGGGGGGAGGGTTTGCATGTTTTGGTGTGCAACAAAATGCCCATTTTTTAGTGCATTGGACGTGCCATTAAGAATCAATGTGTATTGCAGGTTTTGCCTCAATTTTAGTGTGATTTTTATTGCAAGTCGCTCAGATGTGAATGGGGCTTAACTCTCCAATAAGGCACAGAAGTTGCATCCAATGCAGCTTCTCATAGTACAGTACAGAGGATGGTTTTCCAGTCTCTTCAAGTGTAATAAGACAATGATCTTCCCAGCCTAGTGTCCGCTAAGAAGACTTGAGACAAATTGAGGGAACATAGAGAAGAAGAAAGGGTATTTCTGAAAACTAAACTAACTAGCTCTAAACAGTAGGAGAGAAGAGGGAGATACCAATCGAAGATAACAAGTTGCTGTAGCACTGAATTGCCACTAGATATCAGTATAGGTCAGATCATTATTATCATTAATGAAATATAAAGCAGTAGCAGAAAATAACATCACAGGTTGAAAACAACAACAAGGGCATACGTTGCTTACAGTGTAGAATGATTTTGAGCTACAATTTTTGTTTCTGAAGTGTTGAACTACAATTTGCTATGCATATAGGACATTTGCATACCACAATATATTTAGAGTTTATATAAGGAACTGTAAAAAATTTAACCCAAAAATAATGGCAAAAGAGGTCTGTAACCAAGGTGTTTTTTTCAGCATTTGATAATAAAAATGAAATATGTTTAAAAAATTTCAACTTTCTTTCCTACTAAGTCAGGCTTAACAGCTAGAAAATAAACTCTTATAAGATACAACTGCCATCCTTCAATTACAGACAATGGTTAATGGCAAACCTGTTTTAAAACCAAGGCTTAGTTATTTTTTAAACAGCACAAGGGATGGTGCTTACATAATGTTCTTCCAGTAAATACTTTCATTTTCGCATTTTTGCATCTCAGTGCTGCTATCTCCCCCAGGCTCTTTTAGATACCTCTTATCTACATGCTTTCGCTCCAGTGTTGACTGCATATCATTGTCTTCCAATAGTTTCAGTGCCTGACCTGACCATGCCTGTACAATGTATGCTGGCCGAGCTGCTTGTAGTTTTCCCCAGAGGTGCATGTGCAAGGGTGACAATGCAGGAGCACAACTGAGAGACCGTTGTCACTCCCTGTAATAAATCTTGAAAAAGGACCTTCATGACATGTTTCAAGTATTATTTTAATGGCTTCCCCTCCACCCTATAGCAGAAGTACTGTTACAGGGCGGCAGGGCTGCGCAAAATCACACACATATATATATATATATATATATATATATACGTGGT